CCCCCCCCCCCCCCCCCCTCCCCTAACATTACTGCAAAAATTTGCAACTGTCAGTAACAGCACTTGTCTTGAGACCTTAGCTGACTTTCAAGAGTTAACTGATTGTTAGGAGAAGGCTGTAAGCTCATCTGGACTTCCATCATTTTACTATGGTACATTTTTATATTATGCATAGACAAGAGGGAATTAAGAGGACACTGCATCCTGTCATTACCTTTTGAAAACACATTGTGTGTAAGGTCCCAAGCAAGCTAGTCAGACTAGCAGCTATTTCACCATGGACAAAATGGTTCTTGAGACTCTTTTCCATTGTTTTCACACATATGACCTGTAAGGTCCCAATTTAAATCTGAACCGCAATAGAAGCCACAGTTTGCCATCTACCATACTTTCTCAGTAACTACTTAAAGCACCTTCTTTGTACCACAAATTTGCAGTAAGGGAGTTTGAAGTACTCATTCCTGTAACAAAATGCTTACCACGATGGAAGCCTTCTCATCCAGTTGGTACTTAGCAGCAATACCAAAACGTGTGTTGTTACTGCCAGCAGTCCATGCAAGATTGACCGATGTCTCAACTTTGTTATTAACCTTCTGATAAATAGACCCACCAAACTCTGTGCCATCATTCCTGTTTGTAACAGATGCAAGTGTGTCAAGCCCAGCCTCGTTTAGTAAGTAGTAACTCTTTAGATTAACCCTTCCCCACAATCATTGATCATTATCTCTTAAAATGAATCAAGAGCTCCAATACTTCCCTGGACCCATGCTTATCTACTTTCTAGCTGGAGCTGGCAGACTCCTGCTCTCATTTTTTTTTACCCAAAACAGGTGTTTTGCTTGCAGAATGGAATGAGACTTCCCAACAGCTGAGACCTACTGATAACTTGCTTGCTTGTCTTAGAGCAAGCCTGCAATAATGCATAAAGAGACAAATCCAGGAGGAGACTCAAGTCAGTTATGGGAATAAGGAGACTAAAAAAATGTTATTGCATTGCAGTTGCTTAAATACACTATCTTCAAAGACTCAGAGCATTTGAATGCTAAGACTAGAGCTATACTGCAATGACAGCAGAAAACACTCAAGCACAATGCAACACACATCCCTCTCCTCCACCTTGGGCATTTCTGAGCCAGAAGCTACAGTGGCTTAATTGAAGGCTTTGTTATTTAGCACCAAAAGAAGTTAAAGTTCTACAGATTTTAATTCCAAATTAACATTATAAAGTGCACTTACAACACTATCTTATATATACACAAAACACCAAATCACCCTGAAACAAGGTCTCAAACTACAGGCAAGAGTTGGAAAGTTGCCCTTGCTTTAGTTGTAATGAAGATGAAAACACTGAATATAAATTATTTTGAAATGAATCGTCATCCCCTTCCATCCACCTACCCTTCACCTACCTCCATTAATGCTCACTATTAGCTAGCTTGGCTCCTCTGATAATGTTTTTCTAGGCTCAGATAATACTTACACATTAGTGTGCAGCTGAAAGTCTCCTGCCTTATATCCCAAGGCAAAGTTATTTTGTGAAAGCTTAGACTTGGCTGTATCGAAAGCCATCTGGTAGCCAGCAAGCCAGCCTTCATAGCCCAACACTGCCCAGCCATAGATGGTTGGTCCAGAGAGATCAATGTCTATATTGCAGCCTAGATTTACATATTCTCTTTTGTAGGAGGTCTTCAACTTGCCACTCTTCTTCCTGCAGAGAGAAACATTTTATTTAGCATTTTATCCCTGGTAGTATACAAGTATGTATTATATGTAGGTTTACTTAAATATGTATGGTCCTTAAGGCCCGTTAATTAAATGACTGTAATGCCTACTCAAAATTTAGGATTAACAGCTGCTGAGGAAGGCATGGGCTAAGGGCAGTATTGATAATATGTATAGTTACTTGGTGCCACCTTTTCTTCCACCAAATCAAACTCCTTAAAATGCTCAGACAAAAATGTCAAAAGCATTTCAGCTAAATGCTTTAAAACCCATCAGCTTCAAACCTTGTTCTCCACAAGTGAATGCAATGCATTATGGCATCATCAGTTCCTTTGAGAAGCATCCATGACATCCCACACCAACAGCTGTCCTTCAATGACTTTTTGTCTGCTTGGTTCTCTCCACTGTTCTTCCATGTGCACTGCTTGCATTCCTTCCTTCTCTGCTGCTGGATACTAGTCTCCTTTATCAAAAATTAATTTCCTCATCCTCCAGACATCATCCACTTAGCCTTTTTCTAGCCCTCTGGAGAAGGCTCTTTCTCTCTCTCCAAATCATCTTTGTGGTCATTTTGCTATAAGTTCAAACTTAATGAAACTGAGATAAAATTTTATTACCCCCTCAATCCTTTCCCCAACCTCCTTTCTCTCCCCTGAAGGCAGAGCAGAACACTGTGCTGCCTGTCACTCATAACCTAGGCCTGGGGTCTAACTTTTGATTTAGGTTCTAGTTCTTCAAATCCAAGCAATACATCAAACTCTGTTTTTTTCCAATAGGCTCTCCTCAACATTAAATAAAAATCAGTAATTATTTACAAGGCATTCTCAAAATTTGTGGATTATTGAGACATAAACGCCCCTAATGTGCTCTGCTGCCTACAAAAACAAATAGATATAGATGGTAATTGAGAAAGAAAAAAAAAAAGTGCTGTTCCACTGCCTAGCATAATACCTATGTGGTTCTGCATCTTCATTCAGTTCTGCATAGACATCTTCCCAAAAGCATCGGGGGGGGGGAATAAATCTTTGTTTTGTGTTCTTACAGCACCAAATTTACAGCAGTAGGACTGTCAACACTATGACAAAGATGGTACAAGTTAAGTGGTCCATATGAGATGCAGCTGTTTAAGGGGACAGTTACAAAAATATTAATATCTACTGCAAAGTAGTAAATTTGCCAATGGCCGACAAGCTGAAGAATCATTTTTAGCATACCTTCTGAGCCCAGTATTATCCATTGCCTCCAAAATGACTATAGTACCTGCAGAATATTCTACAGTATATTTTGACCATTTTCACAATGACCAGAATAAGCAATTCTAATTAAAACCTATGGGAAATTCCAGCACTTCTTAGATAAAAGTAGCAGGAAATATTTACCCTGTGTTTGGAACAAATGTAGTGTCAAGAGCCACCTTCAATCCTTCAGCCAGCTGCAAAGAAAAACAGCCGTCTTGGTCAGAACTTAGCTGGAACATGGTTACTTTCCACTACCATAGCTCTACTCCTTCTCTAAAGAGAGGATAAAACACAACCATAATGTCTTCCACATTTTACAACAAAATCTGAAGATGCTGTAGGACAAATGATTAAAATTTTTTTGACTTTTTCTTCCCACAATGAGGCCATATAACAGTGCATGCTTCATAGCTACGTTATTACAGAAAGATTTCAATTCTAGTGTTGACAATAAAACCGAGAAACAACGTTAAAGAAAACTGTTCTGTTGTGCTTTTAGTAGCTGAGGAATCTCTCCCAGAATCTACAGGTGTTAACTTTTAAGACATGGTACTACTTCATAGGCTAAGCCATGTACCTGCCTCAGCTTTACCACTCTTGCATTGAGCTGGACAGCATATTTTATTTTAAAGCACAGGTAAAACTGCAAAACCACAACTACAAGAACTGATGGCCATACATGACTAGAGGGCACCAACAGAACCTTTACTACCTTTGGCACCATTACATTACTCTTCAGGCATTAAGTGAAAAGCACACAGCTATTACTCTGAAAGAAAATTGTGTGTTTTGAGAGTGCTGTATGCTAGTAACCCTTTGTGTAAGCAGTTCTAAGCTGCAAACATTACTCTTTCTCTTCAACCTTACAAAATATATTCAATCTCAAGGCAGCCAAACTTAAGTCCTAATGTATTACAGCTTTTAAAACTACGAGACCCTTCTTTTGTTTTCCCTGCATGACTGCAGCAGTGACAGTTCTACATAGCTAGAGTGCATCTTTAAACAAAAACAACTATTTAGAGTAGATAATAGTGGTACTAATTCAACCAACTAGCTAATTTCACATGCCTGTAATTGCAGTAACTCTGTACCTTCTGATCATGATGTAGCTAGCAGCAGACTGCTGTGGGAATGCTTACACCCCCACCCCCAAAATTCATTATGCTCTCTCTGTGTCTACACATTATGCAAATACACGTAAATTATTTCTTTTTAGTACTCCAGATATTGAAAAGTGAAACTTGCACAAAACTGTTTTCTGCTCAACTCAATACTTTCTCATACCACTTGCAGAAACGTTTTTCACAGCATCTTGCTTCCTCTTACCTGGTCCTCCATGGAAACTTCTGTTCCCAACGTGTTGTCTGTGTTCCACTTCTGGGTGAAAGTAAGTCCATAGTCTTTGATCTTGTATTTGGTCTCTAGACTGCCTGAAGCCTTGCCTGTGTCTGTGTTGGAAGAACCACTTGCAGTGAATTCCTGCCAAAAGCATAATATGCGTTTCAGCACTTCAGTATTTTATTACATTGTTTTCCCACTTGTCAAGTGACAGCATACTCGCTGGCCTTGGGCCTTTTGACAGAACCCTCAAAATCATCATCTTCCTTTTTGCCATCCACACCAAAAATAATTATTTCTGCATCACCAAATGCTACTCCTTTTGGCATCTCTGTTCTGATATTGCTTTCATTGAAATGTGCTAACAGAGCCCTGGAACTTGCTTAGTTTGGAAAAAAAAAAACCTATTACACAAAGACCCAGCATCTTCACTTACTTATGACTGCATCGTGACTTGATTACCTGCTCACCCTTTATAATTTTTACCACACCTTTTTCCTAACTTATCCACCAAACTCCCCTGGATCAAAAGAAATGCAACTTTTTCCACTTTTTTTTTTTTTTTTTTTCCTCCAAAGTGGAACATTCCACAGCTTGCTCTGTACCTTCCACACAGATCCATACACAGACACAAAAAGATACTCACTTGGGATACAAAGCTGCTTGCAATTTTTCCTCACAATCTCCTCTAATTCTCTTTGTCATCTTACCAGTAGTGTCCCAATTGTGCATGAAATAGCACCCGTGATACTCCTGGAAATCCAGTCTCCCTTAAGCGATCCTACATCCATCTTACATTACTAGATGAATAGCTAAAAAAACCCCAGATTATGATTTTTCTCTGATTTCTCTGAACACTTCATGCGCTTCTCCCCTTTTATTCTTTTTTCTTTTTCTACCTCTCAGCAGTGAAAATGTCTTTTGGAGAATGGTCATTGATGCTTTTCACACAAACTATTGCACCCTAACTTTGCTGTTCCTTCTAACTGTTGTCGCTTAGACTCTTCATGGACCCCACTGATGATTTTAGTACCTTCTCTCTCAGCCTGACTTCTCTGCCATTACCTCAGCCAGCAACTACACTTTAGAGGCTAGCCCATCCTGCTTTGTAAGACACCTTAAAATTGTAGGCCTTTTCCCCTTCACAATATCAGAAAATAACCTGTCCCCAGTGGCACCTTGACATGTCTCCCATCAGGCTGGTCTTTCACTGACTAGTGTAACTGAACCAACAACTGTGAATTTTTAATAATAGGTATTTTGTAACATTTTGTCCTATGCTGTTTGGCTAGTTCCCAACACATCAGAGCTTCCTGTTATTTAGGGTTCTTGAAGTGTCAAGAAACACCTCTCTTCCTGAAATAACTCAGAGATAACTTACTCAGTGCTCCTTGCATAACATAATATAAAGCAACGAGTAGACACATTTTTGCAGTAGTAAGCTCAAGGCGTATGAGCTAGATTTAAGAAGCATCTGAGAACTGATCTCATTTGTTGTCCTCGCCTCTCAAATATTTTCATTGAAGAAAGATAATTAATCTGCCATTACATTTCCAAGTTACACCTCTTTTGAAATTTAATTATTGAAAGATACGGTGCTTAACAGATGGCAGTATCCATTGCCAACACATCCAAGCTTTGGAACCCTGACTACCAGATCTGTCGCACTGCTGTATGCTCCATACATTACTTTCACAATTCTGTACTTTGCAGAGTGTACAAAGACTGTCTTGAAAAGGTTTTGAAGTGCCAGGGAAGTACAGTGAGTTAAAAAACCACCAAAACACAAACCCCTATACACTTACTTGAGTTAATGCACTCCTACAACAGCACAGCAGTTCTAGAACATATCTAGCCAGCTAATAAGAATACATGACACAAGTCAAGATGCATCAGACTATACTGTAAGACATAATTGATACACACTGCTCCAATGTTATTTCCACACATTCAGTGTAAAGACATCTCAAACCTGCATCAGAAGTCAGAAATAACTTTCTTTTGATTTTAGGGCAGGTAACCAATTAAAAAGGCTTGATTTCTCAGACCAAGAAGAGTAAAGATTGTAAAATCATTTTCTTACAGACAGAGCAATAAACCGCTGCACTGTCATATGATCAAGAAACAAAAAAATTGCCAGGTGTCAGAACTGCATCTGTTTCTGGAAGCAGAAGGCACACAGTCAGCATCTGCTACCATCAGTCTTTAACCATCTGAACTAGAGCAGTCCCTTCAAACCTTCTCATGTAGAAGCATGAAAATCAAACTCTTTTGTAGCTGAAAATCAAACTCATTCTGGCTCCACGTCACACCCTGCTCTGAATCAGCCATCAAGCTCAGCTTCTTATTGGCCTTCTAGTTTATGGCGGCTGGCCTCTTCAGGAACGCCATGCACTTCCTAGGCCAAACCACTTGCAATCTATGAAACAATTGTAACCAACAGACACTACCATTATTTTCTGAGTGTACAGAAAACAAACCCAAAACATTCCTGTATTGTATCAGAGGCATTATTAGTACCAAAGTACAAATTAGCTCTCCTGCTTTGTTCCTAACATCATCTCCATCCCTGAAACCCCACTGTGTTGCAGGAGAGTACTCATTAGAGACACTAACAAGCACAAAACCTGTAGTAACAAACAGACAACTCTATAAATACCGTACCTATGTAATTTTCTTTCCTGCTGTGTTTACAGTCTTATTGTGGACTGTTGGACAAAGGTTGCAAATGTGTTTCCATACATGGATCATACAGCAGACTAAGAGCTATGGACACAGTCAAACCTCATGACGTGGATGATAACGTGACTCAAACCAATGGAGCAGTTTATGAACAACAATATGCACCACAGAAAACTAGACAAAAAAATGGAGGCAACATGCACCAAAACAGTCACTATACTTACCAGCTGAATAAACATCCGACACAAAAGTTGCATGGAAAAGGAAAAGCCCATTTTAGAATTTAATACAGCTGTTCATGTTGCATCATGTTCAGAAGACACCATAATTAATCTTAAGTGATAAACTTATTTGAGAATCGAAACTTCCAGCCAGGCAAATTATGTGTATCATGAGATGCCAGTTACTGACAGCACTCTAGAGACCACACAGTTCCTCGTGCCTACATGTTCCTGGTGCTCAACACATGTAATACTTCAAAAGCTCAGTTGAGACAGAATACAGCAGACAGACTTACACCATTTTCACGATCAAAATGCAAGAGGAGGGAACTAAGGCAAATAAGGTTATGAAGTAGGCTGAAAAGTAGCACAGCTTAACCAGAACAGCATCAAGTGATAGCACACACAGAACTGAGACTCAGTATAAGAATAAGTTCATCTTGTGAAATATATATGCCTGTGGTTAAAGACGAAAATTAAGAAATCCATTCCTGGTTTTGCCAGCTCTCCTGTGAAATCATGAGGAAGCTCCATGTCTCCACATTAAAGCGGGGACCATAGTATTTTCTAGACATCTGAAGTGCTGAAGCTTAATTAAGGTCTATAAAATGCTCTCAAATTCAACATAAAAGGTACTGCAGAAGGGCTATTTAGTTTTAATTAAGTCTTGCATTGTAAGTATGGTGGAGATGAGCGAAACCAAAAGTTAGACTGTGGCTCTTATGTGTCCCTTGACCTTCTGGATAAGAAGTCAGTCTGGACTCAAAAAGCCAATAAAAAACAACAGCAGAGAAACTCAGCTGCATTCATAAGCAGAAATAAGAGCTATTTAGGGTGAAGAAACTCTTATGTACTGCTACACCAGTTCCATACCATTACAGAAATACTTCAGTCAGCCACAGGTTTTAAAATGAGAACTGAAAGAGAGAAGAACACCTGCTAGCAAGTTATTACCACCAACCAGTTCAGGAATTTGTCCTTCCATTGCAATGCTGGTGATGTTGAAAGCCCCATATACTTACCACCCCACTGGAAGACTTGGTCTTCAACTCTAACTTGATCATTCCAAATCCTGAAGATAGAAGAGTACACAGCGTCATATAAGCGAGTCTTATTTCCACCACACCAAAGTATAGCATGTAGTCACTGACCTGAGGAACGACTGATGGAATTTTGACAATTCAAAGTGGGTAGCCCCATAATTTATAGTCATAACAGTCACCTATCATCAAGTATCTCCACCTTCTGTAGCTACCTGCAGTCAGGGACCAATCAATACAGTTAACCATTTCTTCAGATTTACTCAATTTACTTCTATATTTCTGTTTGCAGGGCAGGAATTTTTCTCTGAGAAAAATACGTTTCAATTTACTTCAGTCAGTGCTGTATACACAGATACTACTGCTTTCTTTGTGTTCTTTCTAATCTGCTATGAATCTACAGAAATACCTGACCCTTGCACAGAGCAGAAAAGCCTGAGACAACTGACACTAAAGCACGGAACTTAAGTTGAATTTTAGTAAACCCTGAACTCTAGGGTGGTATAGACCAGACCAGAATGCTTTTTAATTTTATGTAGCATATGGATTTGAGATACGAATGCAGTCTTTATTACAGACCCACAAACCCAGATAAAAAAACCAGCAGCACTTCTAGTACTGCTTCTAGGAAAGGGACTAATAGCAGACTTTCTCCATTTAATTGTTTTGAAAAGGAATCCAAATATTGTGAAATTATTTCCACTCCAGCTAGGACATTAGGCTATTCTGATTGACATAAAGATCACTCTACCTCAGGAACCTGTTTGTTGCCACATATGGTCACCTATGGCAATCTACACGAGTTTGATTTAGCACCTCTAAATAGAAAAGTAGAAAGTGAAAGATGCAGCATTCTTCAGAGTCTGTTCTAGAGTGCATCCTAAGCTCAGACTTGTTACTTTCCCCTCTAATGGCTAATGGCTAGATGCTCCAGGTCTCTGCTGAATTCCTACCACAAGGTGTTTAGAGGGCCTCTGTATTAGTAATGTTTTTACTGTGATTTTCAAGATGCCTACAAAAAAAAAGTAAAAGTTACCAAACCACAGTCACATTACTTACCATATCCCTTGTTGAAGACATCCCTAGCAGACTTTCCCAAGTCACTGTATGATGGTGGGACAGCCATTGGATCTGAAACATGTTGGAAGGTGTTAAAATCTTAGGTTTAACAGCATAAAATCTAAACTATACCCAAAGTATTTATGTATGCCTGTAACTTGTACAAACTGCATACTTCACCAATACAGAACTGCAAGACCTTTGAAGAACATTCATGAAAGTCATCCTTGCATCATGCTTTATTTGTCAGAGACAAACTTAATTCAAGGAAGTTATGGAAGCCAGTCTGTTATTTGGAATCACTAAAGTCCAGGAAGAGTATTGCATTCAACTACATACATAGGCCTTGCAATCTTACACTGCAAAAAGAGCTCATAGGAGCCTTATCGCTGTTGAGCAAACCCTGCTCTCGCAGACAGAACCCTTTCTGGAAGGGAACCCAGTGGCAAAGCCACATCAGCACTGAACAATTCCAAAGAAAAAGAAATCTTACTTCCACGTGCACTTGTGACTTCTTAGAAAGTTTTTTTCAAAGGTTTGTAAAATATAAAAAGAGATCTCTGTACGCTGTCCAGTAGCCACCAGTAAATCTTGCCCTTTGAATAGTAACCTTGAAGTAGTAAGTCTCACCCTTTTGGCTGACATCCTGTTCTGTTTGCATGCCACTTTCATCAGACTACTGAGTCATCCTGAATATTGTTAGCCTGTTCACTCTCCATGTTTCCCCTCTTTACACTATACAGCTATATTTTCTGTATTCTACATGTTTTATAGTATATGTTAAGTATTATGTGAGCATTTAAACAGCATTCTTAAAAAAAAATCATGTTAACGCATGCTGAAACACATAAAGTCTTTGCTAATAATAAGCAGAGCTACTTGCAAGTTTAGAGGTACTGAGTTCAACAACTATTTATTAATACAAAATTTGAATCAGTCTGCATCAACCAGATGTGACGGCAACAGCTGACAAGCGCAATAGAAAGCATGACAAGAAATATTAAACCAGAGATCTAGAAGTAGGCCACAATACTAAAAAAAAAAAAAAAAGCAAGCCTTCTTAACCTTGTGCCTTCCCACAAAAACAACAAACCTTCCCACAACAACAAAATAAGTACAACAGCCACGGGGGAAAAAAAAAATCTATCAAGGAATAAACGGCTGGGCGCAACTGATGCTTAATGTCGCCATCTTCTGATATGGCACACAGTAAGCCAATGTCTGTACATAAACTGCAAAAAACTAACACCAAATTGGAAATCTCAGTGAGGACATAAAACATAAGATCACCCAAACCCATCTATGGAATAACTGCAGGAAAAAAACAGAACAAAAGAACCACGGACAAGAAAGAAAAACGAGAAGAACTACACTTTGAGAAGCCAACTTCATTTTTACTAACGGGTACGCGGCGAGGCTGCCGGCGAAGCCACCCCGCACCCTCCGG